TTGGAGGACCATCCTCCACACTTTATTTATACCTGTAAGAGGATCCTCTCAATATTTCAGTGTATTAAACACGTTGCATGTTATAAGTATGTTGTGTATGGAGCGTCACATGTTCATATCCTAAATGTAAAACTTGATCAATTTCTATATTTTTGATGCCATTCACTGCTTTTACCGTTAAGATGTATAAAAGCTAAAACTATCTGCCTCCTGTAATAAGCTGCTTATAAATGTCTGTCAAGCTGTAATCTAGAAATTAAGGACTTCATTCTCCATTATCCCTGACCAACATGGGCAAAATAAGCAATGGAGAGCATTGTAGTCCAAGAGCACCAGGCTACATTCTTCTGCTACAGGCAACCCATAATTCAGATTGTTTCCTGAGAAACAATTCCTATTTTTAGAAGTGTTGCTCTTACAGCCAATTATGTATTGTACAACTGTTTCATGCTTAGCTATGAGGTGGGTGACTGATTTGCACTAGTCACAAAACATTCTTTTTTCTAAAATACAGTAGGCTTTAGGCATTAGGGAGAAAAGCAACTCATTGTGCAAAACTCTCAGTCAACAGTTTTATGGTATGTGAAGGGTCAGCAGGCTTCTGGGTGTAACTATTTGTTAAACGGACAGGCCTATTCTTGGAGTCTACCAGCCAAGCTACAGGGCGTTTCCCCTTGCTATAAACTGTTGCTTTTAAAATTCTCCCCCAGAAATGGTACTCAATTCTTGGCAATTTTATCAGGATTGATCCCTGGTCTTTGGAGCTTCGTCATTGCAATCCCTGGCGATGAAGCTCCTATTTCTACTCCATTCTGCCCCATTTTAAAAACAATCTTTTATTAGGGGCTCTTCCCTGACATTTAAAAAAAATATACAAAGGAAAGGTGAATGTCTATGGAGATTCTCAGTCATCCAGGTCATGGTTGTCCCAAAAGTGCTTTTTTTTTTTTTTTTAAAGGCAACTGGAGTTTCTTGGTTTTTTTTTTATTTAAGACGTTTCGCTTCTCATCCAAGAAGCTTCTTCAGTTCTGAACTGAAGTCAGAACTGAAGAAGCTTCTTGGATGAGAAGCAAAAGTTCCAAATTCAGTTCAGAACTGAAGAACCTTCTTGGATGAGAAGCCAACTGCTTCAAGGAAAAACAAAAACCCCAGTTGCCTTTAAAAAAAAAACAGCCACCAATTTTGGGAGAAAAGCAGAGTTAGTAGTTTGCTTATTTTCATGCTCTGTCTTGTAACTGGCATGGCATTTAACTCTTGCCTTTTTTTGGAGGGGGGAGCTCAGGGGGGCCCACCTCATGGGCCCTGAGAGCGGGGCTGTGTGGGGTAGAGGACCGGAGCCCAGGTCTTCCCCACCTGCTCAGGTTTGGATTTGCAAGGCTGGGAGGAGATAAATGGGGATGAGGGCAGGGAGACCCCAGGAGAAAAGGGGCTCTCGTCGGCTGCCCAACTGCTTCCATTTCTTTACTGAAAAGTCGCAGGCATCCAGTAGGCAAAGGCTGGGTTGTAGACGTGACCACTGGACAAGCTCCTCAGAAGCTGGTGGACCAGATGCGGCAGACAAAGAAGGACCGTAATGGAGTCTGCAACCTGGATGGGACCCTAGGACTGGCTCTGGCCCCTGCAAAGCGCTGTGTTTTGAAGAGCACCCGAAGAAGCTTGTCTGAAATGGTATATAGGGCAGGGGTCCACAAGCGTGGCAACTTTAAGACTTGTGGACCTCAACTCCCAGAATTCCTCAGCCAGCAAAGCTAGCTGAGGAATTCTGGGAGTTGAAGTCCATAAGTCTTAAAAGTTGCCATGCATGAGGACCCCTGGTATAGGGTTTCCTGCTTGAGCAGAGGGTTGGCCTAGGTCAGGGGTAGGCAACCTCGCCTCTTTTATGACTCATGGACTTCCAACTCCCAGAATTCCTGAGTCAGTTAGGCTGACTCAGGAATTCTGGGAGTTGAAGTCCATGAGTCATAAAAGCCGAGGTTGCCTACCCCTGGTCTAGATGACCTTTAAGGTCCCCTCCAACTCTATTATTATTTTTATTATTATTAAACGTGTTGACCCCCCCCTCCTCCTGGCCCCCTAGCCTGCTCTCCCCTCGCCGGGGGAAGGTGCCCAGGAGCGGCACCAGCACAGCTCAGCACACCCGCCGCCCGTCCTTTGTCGGGGAAACTGGCCCGAGTCCCCGCCCCTTTCCTGCGGCCACGCCTTCTGGGGGCGGTCCCGTGGCCCCGCGTTCGCCCCGCCCACCCACCCTCAACCGCCGCCGCGCCTGTCAGTAGCCGCGGCGGCCGTGGCGGTGAGGAGACGGCGGGGCCTGCTGCTCGGGCTCTCGCGAGCCGGGTGAGGCGGCGGGGAAGACGCTTTGAACCGGGGCCAGGAGGCTAGTCTGGCGCTGGAGAGAAAAACAAAAGACTGGAGGGGGTGGTGGGTGGGAAGAAGAGGGGGGGGGAAGTTATACCTTCTCCGGGTCGGCGCTTTCAGACGTTCGCGGGGATGCGTGTCGAAAGGGATGCGGCGCTCCTCCGACAGGCAGGGGCAGGTCACGTGGGGTAGCGACCTTGAAGGATGGGGTGAAGGTCCCGGGAGATGCTGGTTAGGGGCGAAATGCTGAGTAAAGGAGGTCCTTCTGTGTTTATATGTGGGTTTTGTGTGTGTGTGTGTGTGTGTGTGTGTGTGTGTGTGTGTGTTTTGTACAAAACCATCCAGCTCTTCCCCGGGACCATTCCACGGATTCCTTTGATTTTCCTTGCGGTTTCCCGGCTGTCTTATGAATGCCGTCCTGCCTGTCAACGGTTGCCCAGGCGGAAAGGAGATGCCTCTGGGTTTACTCAGCCTAGTAATTGGCATGGCATTGAACTCTTGCCTTTTTGGGGGGAGGGGAGCTCAGGGGGGCCCATCTGGAGACCCCAACCCTCCTCGTGGGCCCTGAGAGCGGGGCTGTGTGGAGCAGAGGACCCGAACCCAGGTCTTCCCCACCTGCCCAGGTTTGGATTTGCAAGGCTGGGAAGGAGACCAATGGGGATGGGGGCAGCGAGACCCCTGGAGAATAGAGGCTGCCCAGCTGCTTCCATTCCTTTACTGGAAAGTCACGGGCATCCAGTAGGCAAAGGCTGGGTTGTAGGCGGTGAACCTCTGGGAGAAGCTGCTCAAAAGCTTGCTGATCGGATGGGGGAGAGAAAAAAAGGGGCCGTGTTTAGGTGCCAGGGAAGATGGGCAGTGAGGCCTTGAATGGGGCATTGGTACCATCAACAATGGTTGGGAGTGGGCACCTGCCAATGTGACAGAAGGACGTTTCTTCCAGCTCCTTCTCCGGGCTGAATCCATCACATTGTGTGCTGCTGCTGCTGCTGTTGCTGAGCACAAGGTCTTTGATGGAGCTGGGAGCAAGAATTGTAAATGTCCACCTTTTCCGTGTTTATCCTCATTTATTATGGGGCTGTTGCCAGTGAAAGCCTATCCTTGAATGGGGCTGGGAAATTGGTCTTTCACTTACCTTATGTTGCAAACTGTAAATTTGTCGATTACATGAAGGATCCTCTAGGTTAGCCTAGTGTGTGTCAATCACATCTTGTGATTTCATAAAGACCTGGAGTTTCACAGATATTTGGGTACTGTATTAATGCTGGAGGTCTTGCTGTAAATGCTATAGAGATATGGGTGATGAAGTCCCAAAAAAGCTGGAGGGCCCTGCAGAAATAACATTATTTAATTTAAGCACATCTGTAGTGGCAAAAGATAAAAAAAATGAATTAGACAGTTGCATAGTTAGAAAAGTAACGTTTCCAAAAATGTGATGCAGTGAGTACTATGTCCCTTTTTAAAAAAGAATACACATTTTGGAAAATGTATAAAAAAATTTTAGAAAAAAAATAAAATCTGTCCACTCCTGAATTCCTAATAGCTTTACAGGGTTAGCTACTTTGTTACTTTATAAAGTATGTGATGTGTAATTGAGTTGCTTCCCAAAGTTGTTTGTTATATAAACTTTGAACTTTAAAAGTTTGGGTTATTTGTAATTTTTTTGTTACAAATGAAGTTATAAGTTTCTAAATTCTAAAGCATGTAGTATCTTTTTAATTTTGTTTCTTCAGAGAAGCAGGCAAAAATTGAACAGAGGACATAAGAAAATTAACACTAATCTTTAATTTTCAAAAAAACAAGCAGACAAAGTATGAAAGTTGCATTTTTTGGCACATGAACCATTGTTCAATCAGATCAGTGTTGCTTGACTCCAAATAAACTAAAATTCAATTTAATCAAATGTTCTTTGTTCAACTTTATTCTTTTTATGGGCACTGGGGTAATTGTGGAACCCTTAGTTATTAAACTTTAAAATGTTCCTCATTGAGGGAAATATATTAAGATGTGTAATTCACATGCAAGTGAAATATATAGAGTTGATTATCAAAGTCATTTTTGGTTGAATGGTTGCTAAGCCTAAAGTGTTCTTCCATGTTCTTATAAAACACAATTTAGATGCTGATCTTGTGCATATCTGAAAGTACAATCTAGTGAACTCAGGAGCAACTTTTTTGTGTAGGATTGCATGATTAGCTTAGTTTCAATAAAGGTGTGTGAATTAGACTCTGGTACAACCAGCTGAGCTAAAATTTGCTCATTCCAGCCTTGCTCAGTAATAAGGTTGTCCATATCTATATTTGTAGATGGTTCCAGAGCAGCGTTTCTCAACCTTGACAATTTTAAGGCATGTGGACTTCAACTCCCAGAATTCTGTAGAATTCTGGGAATTGAAGTCCACATGCCTCAAAATTGTCAAGGTTGAGAAACACTGTTCCAGAGGCTTTTTAAAAAGTGAGTCATTTGCAGTTGCTGTTGGTTCATTTGCAGCTACTTGGTATTATTTCTTTCCCATTTTTGAAAAAAAAACCCCACTATTGCCCTTTTCACAAAAAGTAAATCATAGATTTTTACTGAGGAAAATATGAATTAAGTTTTTAACATTATATTTTCTTGGCTTGTTTGCTTTATTTTCACGTTTGTACCAGGCGGTGCAATGTCCACAACAGAGCAACAATCAACAGAGGCCTCTCCATCTTCTAATTCAAATTCATCCACTTACTATGAAGCCGTAGAAGCAGAAGCAGCTAATAAATACGAACCAGTTTCTCCTCACTGGTTTTACTACAGGACAGGAGATTCCAGAGAGAAATGGATTCCCTTCAGCGGACAAGATTCAGAGAAGTTGGAAACAGCTTATCAGTCTAGTAAGTAAAAATATGATGCCCCCAAAAGAAGGGGGGGGGATTTTTAATTGTGGCTGTTGCATTTTAATTGTGGCTGTTGCAGAGTGATCCAGTTTTGGTCACCACGATGTAAAAAAGATGTTGAGACTCTAGAAAGAGTACAGAGAAGAGCAACAAAGATGATTAGGGGACTGGAGGCTAAAACATATAAGGAACGGTTGCGAGAATTGGGTATGTCTAGTTTAACGAAGAGAAGGACAATGGGGGACATGATAGCAGTATTCCAATATCTCAGGGGCTGCCATAAAGAAGAGGGAATTAAGCTATTTTCCAAAGCACCTGAAGGCAGGACAAGAAGCAACGGGTGGAAACTAATCAAGGAGAGAAGCAACCTAGAACTAAGGAGAACCTTCCTGACAGTGAGAACAATTAATCAGTGGAACAGCCTGCCTCCAGAAGCAGTAAATGCTCCAACACTGGAAGTTTTTAAGAAGAGACTGGACAGCCACTTGTCCGAAATGGTGTAGGGTTTCCTGCCCGAGCAGGGGGTTGGACTAGATGACCTCCAAGGTCCCTTCCAACTTTACTACTACTATTATTATTATATGATTTGATTTGGGGGAAATATCTAAATCAAAAGCCTAATTTTCTTCTGTTGAGAAACTCTTGTCTAGGCAGGAAAGAGTCAAGCGGGGAACTAACCTTGAGTCCTCGCGCAGTCACAAAAGGCATAAGCCTGACCTTTCCCAAATTCCATGAATCTTTATGTGGTTGTTCCCAGGGGAAGCCAAGTAGTCTGGAGAGATTCTTGTAGTATAGGTAGAACACAATAAAGTTGCTGACTTGGACCTTTCACGAGTGGATCTGGTGGCTTGCCTCTGACACTTCAGCTTTACCCAGTGTGGCCAGTTATCACGAGTGATGGCAACTAAAGTCCACCAACAGCTGGAGACTGTATCTTCTCTCCCCTGTGCATAGTCCATGTCTATACTGTATCACAAATGCATCAAAATAAATGAACCCCAGTTATGAGCTATAGATATTCATAGGCTAGATCAGCCGTCATTTAAACTGGAAATCTACGATATATTGTATATAAAATTAAGAGTTTCCAGGGCATAAAGAAAGGTGGAGATGAATAGACTAATCCAATTATAGGCCAAAATGGAGGGAGAGACAAGACATCTGCCACTTGCCTTCTGTTCTAGTTTTTGTAAATATTATCCAGTGTATTTACATTTTCCATCCATCTAGATAATGTGTCTTCTAAAAAAATAATAATAGGTTTGACAACTGTATGAATTTTGGCTTAGAGGTCCTCCACACACCCATGTTTTTGTGTTCAGTTTCAGCTTTTTCCTTTTAGCAAAGCCCTATTGATAGTACGCAGCTAGTTTCATGCTAGCCCTTGTGTTCTGTAGGCAAGCATTGCAAAGAGCTGATTGTGCCAACTGAAGGGGGCCGGTATGATGTCCACTTAAAGGAGAGGGTGCGCTATGCTGTATACTGGGAAGAAGCTGAATCAGAAGTAAGACGCTGTACTTGGTTTTATAAGGGCGACAAAGACAACAGATATATTCCATATCCTGAAAACTTCAGTGAACAGTTAGAGGTAATGTTGATAAGAACATGAGTTATATTCTTGACTGCATCATTTTTATTTCTGGCAAATCTTTCTGATTTCCTTGGGAATGCCCTTCACACTTTCCTGGGAGCTGATCATGGGGGAACATTATGACCAGGATCTCTTATGTAATTTGAAAATATAAATATGAAATTTCCATTAGAGTCATGTGTGGGCTAGTTCTCATTGTGATACCTTCCCAGTGTAAATTCATCCTACCACACGTTCTCACTTCCCTGAAAAGAAAATAACATTTGTTCCACAGATCAAATGGTAACAGCTGTCATGTCTGTTTATTTTGTTAAGTGAGGTACCAATAGCATTTAGACTTATATACCACTTTATAGTGCTTTACAGCCCTCTCTAGGTGGTTTACAGAGTCAGCATATTGCTTCCAACAATCTGGGTCCTCATTTTACTGACTTTGGAAGGATGGAAATCTGAGTCAACCTTGAGCTGATCAGTATTGAATTCCTAGCTGTGGGCAGAGTGAGCCTCCAATACTGCTTTCTAACCACTGCGCCACATGGCTCTCTAGTGGGCAAATAACTGGGCATCAATAAATCAACAAAAGTGCTACCCTAAACCAAATCAGGATCCCTCCAAGGACTGTTCTTTTAAATTCTAAAATATTTTAGTAACTTTTTGGTTTTGGAGGCCTCATTCATGAATCAGCTGTTTTGGATCTAATTTAGTCCTTGGTCATTCAGCTCTTTTTGATCCAAAGGGCACTCAGGAGGCCCTTTCAAATTGAAATATTAGGATTGTATGAGAGCTGCCTTTTGAGCAATTCTGTCCATCATCTTGAAGCAGTTGGATCCTCTTGCTTAGTTATTGGTAGCTTTCCTTCTCTTTGTTTCATGACCAAGGGGATTTGGCATTATCTGCAAATGCCAATTTTTTTTAAAAAAACAGTCTTGACTTTGCAAGATACTTTGCCCTTCTGCTTTGCTTTTTAGAACCTAACATATGCTAACCATCACACTGCAAGGAACAATATGTGGCTTACTTGATAGGCCTGTCTATCTGAGGGTGGCTCATATTATAATTTCTTGCTGTATTATGTTCTTTGAGTACTTTTTTTCCTTACAAAGTAGCTGCTTCATTCTGGATATTTGTTTGGAAGAAAGGACAAGTCTACCCAAGTCCTTTGAGAGGGAAATGACATTTTAGGACAAATTCATTGTGGTGAATTTAATTGAGAACTGTAGGTAACATTAAGAGATACACATTTTTCTCCATTAATCCTCATCTAGTTGTGTATTATTCCTAGACACTAATTGTATTCTGGATGAGCATTATAGTTTCAGAAATGCTTATATTACCTCCATCAGCTGAGTTCGAACAGAAACATTTGTGTGATTGTAGGCAGTAAATTTTGTAGGATGTTCCAGCTGGAAACTGAAAGATGTAAATCTGACTAGTGGATTCTGATATCTAATAATATGAAGCTGAACCAAAAAGCTTAAGTCTTATATTTTGGGACTCAAAATATAAATTGCTTCCAAAATAATTAAGGTAGAATCAATCCATTTGAAATAGTTAATCTCTACAAACCAAAAAATAAGTAATAATTTCCAGAAAATTTTCTTGATTAATGAAGAAGAATATCTTGTTATGTCTAACCATTCATATGGTGGAAAACATGCAGCAATTTGTTCTTTCTTTTTTTTTAACTGTAGCTGTAGTCTTGAAACATACACCAAACCTTATTAGAGAGCATTGCAATGGAAAACAAGGCTTCCTTTCCTTTCCTTTCCTTTCCTTTCCTTTCCTTTCCTTTCCTTTCCTTTCCTTTCCTTTCCTTTCCTTTCCTTTCCTTTCCTTTCCTTCCCTTCCCATTCCATTCCCATTTCCAGTCCAGTCCAGTCCAGTCCAGTCCAGTGTCTCTGCAGATGTCTTCTGTTTGACTTGTGAATGTGGAGAGAATGATATGAAAGTCATTTGGGACACTTTGGGCTTTATATAATTATTTAGAGTAGTCAACTCTGAGTAAAATTTACACAGAGTTAGATTTTTATAATGTAAAAGTAAAAAAAAATACGTTGACTCTCAAAAGTACTTTGTTTTGGCTTCCTTTGAAGGACACTTATATGATTTGTGTGACCTTAGACGAATGGAAGAAGAAATTGGAATCTCCAAATAGAGAAGTAATCATATTACATAACCCAAAGGTATGGTAAAGTTGATGGTTTCTTTTTCCTAAGAAACATGTTGCTTCTTCTTAATAATTTGAATTGTGTTAAGGAAACTTTTGAAAGTTTCCTTAATACAACATAAGCTTTTGTGTGTCCAAGGAATATCTCTGGGGTGGGAGGGGAGAATTTTCATCTGCATAGGCCAAGAGATATTTTATTTCCTTTAGGAAGCATCTCTTAATGGCCTGCGATGTTGCCCAAGGTCATCAGGTTTTCCAGTCGCAGTTAACAAGTTTAGAAATGCATGTTAGAATTACATCCAGCTGTTTATAGAGGTATTGTAAGAAAAGCACGAGGAAAGAGTTTTATGTATTCAGACTTCAGCTCTTGAAGGAGGTCTTTCGTGAGCTCTTGTACATGCTACGTTAACTTCAAATTAAATTAAATTAAATTTTTAAAAAAATGTGTGATAAATTGGAGTGAAACGATACCTCGCCCAGCATATATACTGTATATTTCCTTATATTTTCCTTATCTTGAATTGAGGATATTGATCAGTGAGAACTATCATGTGGGGCATCTAAAAAGGTTAAATCATGGCAACTGGGTGAAAATTTATTAAATGGAGACATTTTGTTACTCATCCAAGTAACTTCTTCAGTCAAAATGAAAAATTTTTGGGTAGGCAGAGTTAGAGTCGTTGGCATGTATAGCTCAGACAGCGCATCTGAGTGCCAAAATAACACGCCCCATTTTATATGTAAAATATAAATGAAGACTCAATCATCCAGGCCAAAATTATCTAAAAAGGTTAAATCATGAAGAACTTACTTGGAAGAGTAATGAAACATCTCTGTTTTAATAAATTCTGGTCCAGTTGCCACGATTTAACCTTTTTAGATCCTTTTGGCCTGGATGATTGAGTTTTCATTTACATTTTACATATAATATGGGGCGTGTTAGGAGAGGATAAAAACGCTGCATTTTTAAATGTTAACTTGGTTGTCAAAATGTCTTGCAAGATTCTAGGGAAAAAGTTGGCAACTTTCAGCACTCAGATGTGCTGTCTGAGCTACATTCCTGACAGCTATAATTCCTCCCATCCCCAGGAATATGACCAATTGGGAGACATAATAGGAAATGTAGTTCAGCAACATCTGGATTGCTATAGGTTGACTATCCTGGTAGGTTTGAGGGGGAGCAAAGGATGCTTTTTCTCCTAAGGATCCTCAGGTCAGCTGAGGTTGCTTTTTTCCCAAGCGCTGAGGTTGGTTTCCATTAAACTTTGAGCTTTTTTGATTGTGACTCAATGACTGTGGAATGCTGTGGCTCTCTTTCCATTGCTCTTTGCTCTCATTTTGGAGACCAGCAAAAATGTGTATTTTTAACAATGCCAGGCTTTGGGAAATGACTGGGAAGCAGAAGTTCTGCTACTGTTTTTAAATGGATTTAAGAAATATTTGAATAAATGTCGCTGTTTCATAACCCGCCTTTGGCACATTCTTCCCTCAAAGCACAGCATAATCAGTAGCAGGAGGCTGAAAGCTGCCGCATGATTGGTGTCTGTGTGGCCTTTAGGGTTTTCTTTAGCTTCTTTGCTTAGTTAACAAAGATCTTTATTAGTGTTTGTCTCCATTTTGTTATCAGATTAGGCGATCTGATTTGCTTTAACCCATTTGCTTTTCTTTTTTTTCTTTCAAGTTAATGGTACATTACCAACCGGTAGCAGTCACAGATGATTGGGGTGTGAGTCCTGCAGAACAAGGCCGGCCAAGGACGGTGAAGAGAGGAGTGGACAATATATCTGTTGAAATCTGTCATGGTGGATAATTATTTTCATTTTTGGAACACACTGTTCAGGGATTGCTCAGGGATTATTTCTCAACACAGATTAGAAGCACGAGACTAAAACATTAAGAAAGTATTATGTATTTTTAGAAAATTGTTCTGAGCAAGATTTTTAAGGGTAAAGAGAAGAGAGCAGAGGAAAGTAACAGGAACAGCAGAATCTATATAACTTTTTATTTTTAGACTGTCTTATGTCAAAGTATATTTTACCCATGTAGTATGGCTGTTTTACTATTATCCTTCTCATCTTTATACTACCTTCTCTTCTTGGTATCATCATTATTATGATTATTATTCTGTTGTTCTGCATGTATACTTAGAGCTTCAGAACCAGAGACAAATTCCTTGTGTGTCCAATCACATTTGGCCAAATGAAGCTATTCTATTATTCTATTCTATTCTATTCTATTCTATTCTATTCTATTCTATTCTATTCTATTCTATTCTATTCTATTCTATTCTATTCTAATTTTATATTCCATTCCATTCTATTCTATTCTATTCCACTCCTCTCCTCTCCGCTCCGCTGTAAAAATAATATCAATTAGAATAAGCTTGAATATTTAGTTGTTTAATTTAATGTTTAATTTAGCTCCAGCATTTTTAATTTGCAAAAAGCCAAGACACTCCAGGTATAATAAGATTTGGTATCTTTTGGGAAACAGCACTCTGAGTAGGATTTGGTTCTTTGTTTCAGGGGAACCAACACAAATTGATCATTTAGTTTTTGTTGTTCATGGGATTGGACCAGCTTGTGATATTCGATTCCGGAGTATCGTTCAATGTGGTAAGTACAAAGAAGAAACATTGCTGGTTCTGCATCCCAAAAAAGGAATTGGTATGTGTTGTGGGGACAGATATTACTATCATGACCTTCCTTACCATATAAAGCCAGATTTCTCCAAATTAGTCCTCCTGTACAAGTGAATGCTATGTTGTTTGCAGACCTGAATTACTAATACAGATGACTCTCAACTTATGATCACAACTGGAGTCAGGATTTCCATTGTTGAGAGACTTGCATCCAGTTTTGCCATCTTTTTGGCCATGGTTCTTAAGCAAATCACCGCAGTTCTTAAGTGAATCACACAGTCATTAAACAAATCCAGTGTCCCTCTCACTGATTCTGCTCATTGGAAGCCAGCTAGGAAGGTGACATTACCCCAAGCATAAATACATGCCAGTTGTCAAGCATCTGAATTTTGATCATATGATGATGGGAATGCTGCACTATTCATAAGTGCAAGGGCTTTTCGTACGTCATTTTTTTCCCCCAGTCATCCTGCTCCATGGAGTAGACAGAAGGCCACCTGAAGAGACTAGAAGCATTTGAAATGTGGATTTACAGGTGGCTGTTACGTATAAGCTGGGTTGACAAGATCAGAAATGAGGAGGGGATCAGCCGCCTGGGAAAGCCAAGGGAAATCATCAAAACAATTAAAAAATGAAAATTAGAATATATCGGACATGTGATGCGACACCCAGAAAAATACGGCATACTCCATTTCATCCTCCAGGGAAAGATTGAAGACAAATGAGGTCCAGGCAGAAGAAGAACATTGTGGCTTCAAAATCTAAGGGAATGGTTTGGTCAAAACTCAGCAGCACTTTTTCGTGCGGCTGCTGATAAAAACAGGATCGCCAACGTCCAATAACTGATATGGCACAAGAAGAAGAAGTGGTGGTGTAACTTTGAACAATCACCAAAATAAGTTGAGGACTACCTGTACATACCTACTAATATATACCAATGTTTTTTAGTTGCGTTTATTCCACAATAATTAAAGCTTCAGCATTGTTATCACCTTCATCATAATCTACTTGATGAGAGATAATGTTAGGAAACCCATTTATTTCTAGTTGATGTTGCAATTATCTGGAGATGAGCCAAATTTCAAAGCAAGATATGCCCAAATCATAGTGGTCACTCCTTATTATGGAGCCTTCAATTACATGGGATTCTTTTGTTGGAAATTATTTGGGAATTAGTTTTACAGCATCTCTAAAATACATTTTACTATGACATAAAGATTGCATTTCTGTTGACTGTGATCCATGAAAGTTTATGGTGCAAGATATGCAAAAATACAAATTACACTGTGTTAAGAGAAGCATCAGTAAATCTTGATTAGTATTGTAGGAAGTGGGACTTGAGCAACAAGATCCTTTGCAGTGCCAGGTTCTCCAAAGTAATGTTTACATAATACTTTATCACATAAATTTTAAATGAAGAAGTGGTTGAAGCAATTGCTTGGACTTTCCCCTTTTTCACAATGAATCTAGCATTTTAGTGAGTTTCAAGCCCATCTTGCATAAAATGGTCCCAGTGCAATGATTGCATAAAATGGATTGCATAAAATGGTTTGGAGAGACAACTACATTAGTGAAGTAACCTTGTTATAGAAACTGGCTGTGCAGTAACATGACAATAATGTGGCTTCTAAGGTGGACTTCTTAGAAGTCTTCTAAGAAAATGTGTCTGTGGAAATGCTAAATTTCCAGAATCATAACTGGAGAGAAGAACAAGAATTAGACAATTGCTGCTACTGCTAGGACTAACAACTTGTGTTTTTAATAAATATGTAAGTGTTATAAACTGCTTACTGAGCCAGTTTGATGTAGTGGTTTATGAGAACCAGATAGGAATTGTTGAATTCTAGTCCTGCCTTAGGCACAAAGCCAGCTGATGGACTTGGGCCCAGTTCTTGTCTCTCAACCCAAAGGAGAAGAAGACAAGAGCAAACTATTTTCAAAAACTGCTACTAAGAAAGGGCATTACTAGGCATTTCTATGTGGTCATCAGGAGTCAACATTGATTTGAAGGCACAGTTTTCACAAACACTTAAGGACTACAGTAGATGAAATACAGAGAAGACGTGTCTCTGCATTTACTGCGTTTCTTCCCCCTAAAAATAAACTGGAACAATCTGGTAGAGAAACCAGGAGACTGTGACTTCTAGTCCCACCTTAGGTGTGAAAGCTAGCTGGGTGACTTTGGACCAGTCACTCTTGTCTCAACCCAACCCACCTCTGTGGTTGTTGTTGTGCCTTGAGTTACTTGTAATCAGGTGGGATAAAAATATAATAAACAAACAGTGTTGAGAAAGAGGAATTGTTCCCTTATTCCTGTTCTTTTTCCCCATTTGAGTCTACTTCCAGTCTTCCCAGGAAATTGAATTTTCCTTCCCCATTGTTAAGTGTGCAGTAATAGCTACTTTGATTCAAAACAGTTTCTTCTTCTTCTTCTTCTTCTTCTTCTTCTTCTTCTTCTTCTTCTTCTTCTTCTTCTTCTTCTTCTTCTTCTTCTTCTTCTTCTTCTTCTTCTTCTTCTTCTTCTTCTTCTTCTTCTTCTTCTTCTTCTTCTTCTTCTTCTTCCTCCTCCTCCTCCTCCTCCTCCTCCTCCTCCTCCTCCTCCTCCTCCTCCTCCTCCTCCTCCTCCTTCTTCTTCTTCAGTCAACGACTTCCGCAGTGTTTCCTTGAACATGATCTCAACCCATTTCAAGAAGGCTCAGGAACAACAACAAATTGGTCGAGTTGAATTTATTCCAGTGAACTGGCACAGTACTTTACATACAGGAGTAGATGTGTAAGTGCATTTTGCAATGCTTCAAGGAAATCTGTACGGGGTGATGACAGCCTGAGATCTACAGAGATATTTTTCATTTCATAAAACGCTACAATTTTAACTGACAAGAGGAGGCAGTCTGCATTTTAGACTTTTGGGGACTCTATACAATGTATAGAAAATAGATAAAATATATACTTAGATCTGCTTTCCTTAGTCCCAAAATTTTGGTATAGTACCTCACTCTTCCAGATCTGCTATGTCAGATCTCACCCAAGCCAAGCCAAGCCAAGCCACAAATCATCCTTTCCTTGATAAGGATTGTACAGTAGATATAGACATTACAAACATTTAATTTGCAAGTCAATTCTCACTGTGTTTTCTTGGGAGTTCATTGAATTCAGTTGGATTTATTGGTTAATAAAACCAATCAAAAGAGTACTTCAGTATTTTTATTAGTTTTATTTTGATCCAGCTTTTGTAGTGAAGCCTCCTTATGCTGACAAAAAAACAACAACTTAGTGGCAGAACGTAGAAGTTGGAACGCTAAGAGGAAAAATGACAGTGGTCAGTGGGAATGGTTGAAATCACTGTTCCTTCTAAACGTCCTTCTCTGCTTTGCTTACAGAAATTTGGAGAGAATCACTTTGCCAAGCATCAACCGCTTACGTCACTTCATCAACGATACCATCCTGGATGTGTTTTTCTACAACAGCTCTACCTACTGTCAAACCATTGTGGATACGGTTGCATCAGAAATGAACCGGATCTACCTGCTCTTTTTGGAGAGAAATCCTGATTTCAAAGGAGGTGTCTCCATAGCTGGCCATAGCTTAGGTATAATTATTTTTCATACTTTAATGCAAAGCTTATCAGCATACAGTATGTTATTTACAATATAATGTACTAAAAATGTTCTGGACTCTTAGATCAACATAGAAAAATTTTTTTCCAGAGAGAGCACAATACATGCATGATAATCTTAAATTAATTTACAGTTGTAACATCTACAAATCACAGGATAAAGGAGATTTAAAACCAGATACATCATTTTAATCAAGCAGTAATGATCTTGAGCAATTCATAACAAAAGTCCTTGTCTTGCATTCAGACGACCCCAAATTCAGTCTTTGATCTCTCTAGGTAGGACTAGAAAAAAAAAATGTGGCTGGAAACCCCAGGTGACTGCCTCTAGGCAATCTAGTCAAGTGTGGTCTTATTTTGGTGTAAGGACTTCTGAAATCATTTCATTTGGGTTACTTTGAGGTAAGATGGGCAGCCTATACATTTTATAAATCAATAAATGAAATTTGGGAATGAGCTCTATAGTTATTCAGATATATGGGACAGGACAAACCGGGCCACCTATTACCTATTCAATTTAAAATCGGTATTGAAACTAGATCTTTGGGTTCTTGGGATGCAGCATCTCCTGGGTTTTTCTGACTTTTCAGAATGTAATTTTGTATGCATTTTTTTCGCCACTTGATTAAACATTTGCAGGGCTGGGAGGTTTGTTCCTCTCCTTGTATTTTCATGAAGTAGTAGGCGATATACTGATAATACATTTCTGTATAGCAAAAATAATAATAATAGAACATAAACTTCTGAAGGGAATTTGTTTTCTCTTTGGTACAAAATTTAAAAAAAATAACTTGATTCCCACGGTATAGATTTTTTTTAAAAAAAATCTAGTTTCCTCCATTTGTTCTACTTTTCAAATTGTAAAATCAATAATTTCTCCATTATTGTTTTTTTTAAACTAACAAGAATTGTGAATTTATATTTTATCTGAGAAGGTTGAAACCTTTGGTAATCCTGACACCCCATATTTGTGATTTTCCTCTAAGACCTGCTCATGATGTTATTTTCTTAGGGTCCCTTATATTATTTGATCTTCTCACAAATCAGAAATGCACATTTGATGAGCAAGAAAAAAAAGAGGTACATGTTTACATGTTATTCTGTTGTTTCAGTTCGGGACAAGCCCGAGTTAATTGATATTTTCACGCTGCGCTTTCATTTAGCCAAGATAATTTTCTAATCTTCAGAAATACCGTCAGTTAGTTCTGAGAGAAGAAGCATACATAGTATGGCTTTTGCTAAACTTAGTTGTTCCCTAGTTTTGAGTTAGGTGCTAATCCTTATAGATTCCCAAGGTTGGGATGGGATGGGAATATTCTAAGCAAATTTTTGGATTTAAAAATTCCACTGAGAGAGGATTACAGCAAATACAGTAAAAAAAATTCTCATTGATTGTGAGGAAGCTTATAGTCTCTATAAGGCGATACAGGATTTCAGCTATCAATAAGTGTTTTGTTATCTCTCTGTAGGAAGGTTAAATAAATCCTTAACTGTTTTGTTTAATGAAATTACAGGACATTTAAACTGTTTCTTTGGGCTTGATTATATTTGAATGTAGTGCTTTTAGCGTTTTATTGTTTTAAAATGTTTTTAGTATTTTTAATTGTATTATATTTTTTTAATTGTAAGCCACCCAGAGTCATTGACTGTGGTTGGCTACTATATATGTTTAGTTAAACCCACTGAAACAATGGACTTTTAAAGCTAGTACAGATTGACATGCTCCATTGATTTCAGTGGTGGTGCTCCAAGCTATGAACTTTGATTTAAGCATGTATTTGTTTGTTGATTTGTGTTCAATTCTGTCCAATTCTTAGAGACTGCCTGGATAAGTCCTTGCAGTTTTCTTGGCAAGGTGGTTTACCACTGCCTAAGTAACTGGCCCCAGGTCACACACCTGGTTTTCTGCCTAAGGGGGGGACTAGAACTCAAACGTCTCCTGTTTTTTAGCCTGAGGCCTTAACCACTATACCAAAGAGGTTCTACAACCCAACATTAGGAGAATCATTTGTAAAATTCTACAATTTTATTGTTTATTTCAGTGATAACATTTGCATACATCCTAAACTGAAGCAAACCAGGAGCCTTAAAAACTTCCTAATTCACTTTTCACAGGGATTACCAAGACTAGCAATGGATCAGGAAATCAACAAATCTATGAAGGACATCTTAGCAGAACTTGATCTTTCTGAATATTATGCTGTGTTTGAGAAGGAAAAAGTGGACAGTCGAGCATTGGTAAATGAAACCGGGGTTGCTTCTGTTACCTAAAACATGGATGCTGCTGGCTTTCATATATCTGTCTTCAGCATGGCCTCTTAAGGCAAATGAACTTTAGGCCAATAATATCAGGGGCCGGTAGATATGGATGAGCAATTTCTTTTCCATTGAAATTTTGTTTGGATCTACTTGGAGATCATCATCTGGGATAGTTCATGTTCGGATTAGATACTTCTTTGGCAAGGAATAACATCCTACTTTTCCTATTTATTTACATTACTTCTGTCTTTCTTTAGAATGCCAACTGCATATACCAGAATGTCCCAATCTTATAGTCAAGGACACGGTTATTTAAAACACACACACCATGCTGTGCTAGAATATTTGAGAAGCACTTCATTATTCTCATCCTTAACTCTTTTGCAGCGTGGCATTTTGAAGTCATTGCCTCTTGGGCAACCGGACTTAGTCTGTGAACTAGGAATTGCTTATGGATTGTGACTTGGGTGTCACCTTTTCTCCAGTGCTTCCTGCTTCTGGGCTTTGCAAGCTCCTTTTGTTTTGCTTGGATCAGTATGTCGGTTTTTACAAAGCTGAATTGTCTCTTGAAATTAGTGAGCTGTGTAGAAGCAGCCTAAGCCCCGCCCCTTTTCCTCTTCCTTTCTATATCCTGTTCGTACTAGAACTGTGTTTCTGAGTGTGGAATTTTTATGTGCAGGCCCTGTGCACGGACAAGGAGCTTAAAGAGATGGGGATCCCCTTGGGACCCAGAATCAGGATCCTGCACTATTTAAGGAAGAGAAGCAACTACCAGGTATGCCTTGTGTAAGCCTTTGAACCACTGAAACGTGCATCTTCGGGGACACAGCCATGAAGTTATGCTTTGGAACCTAGTTATGCTGTATTAATTTCATCACCTAAATCAAAAGGAATACTTTGTCATTGTTCTCTCATTTTTTGCTTTCTTGGCTCTCCCTTGGAATTAGAAAAAAAAATCTGTGTTTTCCATTAGCTACAGCAGTACTCGCCTGACGACTGGTCACTTAGTGACTGTTTGAAGTTACAATGGACCTCCCTGGGGATACTTATCATCTGGTTCTGAACTTTTGACCGTCACCCTCTTTGCTCATGGGACTGCACGTTGGGCACTTGGCAGCCAGCCCACATCCATGGCTGACTGCAGTGTTCCGCAATCATGTGATTCCATTTTGCAGTGATTTTCCCTGAAACCAGCAATAACTTCTGGTTTTCAGCGAAAGTGGTCCCTAGCAAGCCATTGATTTGCTTAACAACTGGTGCAAAGAAGGTCATAAAATCAAGTCGATCATGTGGTGACCGATTTTACGACTATCATGACTTACAACCTTGATGGGCAGGCTCCATTATGGTCATAAATTGAGGATTATCTGTATAAATGCAGTTATGAGGCCACTACCGTACCCCCATAGAGGTCTTGTATATAATTACATGGATTGTATGTATATGCTTGCTTCTCTTCTACCATGTGTTCACCCTATGCTAAATAAATAAAACTCCCCATTGGATAGTATTTCACAGCCATTTCGGTTAAGGATGTGACCGTCCATAGATTTTCTAAATTGCCTGTCAATACTACCTAATTGACAGCCATCACCACCAGCAAATTACATAGTTGCCAAATGAGCTCTTCTTGATGAAGATTTTCCATGCTTCTTGGAATCATGCTTGAACCCTTTTCACTCCTGATGCATTTTCCCATTGGAGTCACACGACTTTCAGCTGCGTCTCCGGATGAAAGTGTTTCACATGGCCCAAGAGTGTTGATCTTGATGGAGCCTTTGCATCCGTTTAACCTTTTATTTATTCCTTTTGGTTTTTCTCATTTGATAATGAGGTTGTGGCAAAATATAAACCTTCTAAAGCCTTTAATATGTTCTAGGCAGAAGAATTCATAATATAATACAAAAAATTGTGCAGTCCTTCTTATCACGAAGTACACAGTGTTCACTCTACAGACAACCGTAGTAGCATTCCACTAAAAAGTTTTTATAAAATGGATCCTCCTTCTGTTGAGGTAGCACATGTTTGAAAGCAACTGCAGAAGATTTTTATTATCATCATTATTATTTTCTTTGTAGGTTTTGAGACAAACCTCTGGAGCTGCTGAGGAAGGTGGAGATGCCAACCAGGGAACATCTGCAATGCCCATATGTGCAGAAACCAGTTGTAGAATTCCGGGTGTTATAACAGGGCAGGTAACTTTAATAGACAACAGCTATTAATGATTTGCTTAATGACCATGGCAAATTTTTTTTCTAAAATTGGTGCTACTCCCATAACAACTGTGCTCATAAGTCGAAGACTACCTATAGTGCATCAACAAAATATTGATAATAAAAAAAAATTCTATACTTTTTTTTCAGAAAGTCATGCAGGCAAAAATATTATATTTATATAGATTATGTTTAAATGCTTTGTTCTGACTCCGGCTAATTGGGCCAAGATCTGAATCCAGACCGTATTATCTCATATCAGATCCTTCATTGGGCTGGTGCAGAAGTATCACACTAAATGCTTGTCCTTTGCTATCTCTGTTTACATTCCTTCATAGTTGCTTGTTGATGACCTCCAGCGTTTATGGGCTGCTGAATTCCACAGCTCATTATGCAAATGCACAGGCTACAAAATATTTTCCTGTTTCAGAAAATCCTGGATGTAGCTTGGAGGACTGTCTGAAAACTCCTACAGACAAGGTCTGAAGCCTGTAGAGCAGTGGTTCTCAACCTGTGGGTCGGGACCCCATTTGGGGTCGAACAACCATTTCACGGGGGTCGCCAAACAACACAGTCCGCCATTTTTTTCCATCTTTTCCTTAGCTGTGCTACTCCCTTTTATTCTATTGGCTTTTGAAAGCCAATAGAACAGACTCTCTTGAATAGAGTCTAATTCTATTGGCTTTCAAAAGACAATAGGAATTGTCCAGGCTGTCTCTGCCCTGCTTAGACCGCCAAAAGTCCCATTCTGCAAACGGTGCTGCAAGTTGTCTGCAGCGAAGGTGAGCTGTCTGGAAATTTCCACCCCTCCCTGCTGAGCAACTACTAAAAATGTAAGGCCAGGGGTGGGAGATGGGAGGCCAGTGGGCGCAGGGAGGATTGTTGGCATGCGTGGGGTCCGGCTGGTGCCTTACCTCCCTTGGGCTGGGCCAGGTGGTGGCTCAGCCAGTGGTCGGCCTACTCCGTCTCTGCCGCTTGCCAGCTATGCCTCGGCCGGCGCAGGGGGCGGCACCATGCATGTGCGGCGCTCCTGGGCAGGGAAAGTCCTCGACTTATGACCGGTTGGGTAGTCCTCAACTTCCGACCGGTTGGGTAGTCCTCGACTTACGACCGGTTGGGGGTCGCGGCATTAAAAAGGTTGAGAACCTCTGCTGTAGATAGTTCTGTCCTGAAGGGAAGATGCCCTGGAAAGATAAACTTGTTTGCCTTTTTTTGTTGTTGTTTTTTTTAGCAGCATGTTTCTGTTTCGATTTTACATTATGGACGTTTGTAATTTTCATGAGTCCCACAGGCAGGCAGAATGGAATTGCTTGTTCCCTGTAAACCGTCAATTCTATTTGCATTCCATCAGGTCTCTGCAAACTACCCTCAGCTTATCTACAATCCACAGATTTTTTTTGCTTTTGGCTCACCCATTGGGATGTTTCTCACTGTACGAGGTGTGAATAGGATTGATCCAACTTACACCCTGCCCACCTGCAAAGGCTTCTTCAATATCTTTCATCCCGTAAGTCTGAGTATCTTTTCTTGTTCCTTTGTCCAAGGAGTACAAAGAGAAAATTACAGTCGGCTGCACTGCAGTGCAAATGGATCATGGCTAACTTGATTCAAGTCCTGCTGAAATAGATGGGACTCAGATAACGGTTAGTTGGCACTGGCTCCAGTTCTTCGTATTGTCAACTGGATGGCAGATAGCTGCGTAATATCGAATAAGATCTGATGAGAAATCAACAAATCGGCCAGCCTTAGAAGAAAAAAAAAACAAATAAAAGAAAACCAAGAATCATAACAAAGAGATGGAATGTAGATACACCGAGGTTCTGTGACATTCGGCTTATAGACACATATCCATCAAATTCTGGCCTGTTCAAAAGTATGTAACATTTGGAAATAATTAAAATCTTGAATCCAATCTGTAAATTATGCAGCTTCTAAATTAGAAAACCTTAACGCACCCTTTCTGGAGATAATCTCATCCTGTATTGGGGCTTAGTTAACCATCCATGGTCCATGTTTCCCTTACATTAGAAATAGGACAGAGCAGTGTGGAGAGAAAAGCTTACCTCTCCTAATCATTTGCTACTTTTCAGTCATGGGTGGGGGTATTGATTTCTGAAGACTTATCTGTTAATTGAGAATGCATAAGCCTTGCTGTTTGCTCAAAATGTCCTCTGAGCAGCTTAATGAAAAGTGCAGCTCAATATAAAACAAACACGGTAATAATACCCAGATGTAAAAACCCAAACAGTAGAGAAGTAAAAACCCAATAGAAGCCAAACAGAAAAAGATCTGCAATTTAAACCAATGTCCTCGTTTTCTCCATTTCCCTTAAAAAAAAAAATCAGTGTAGAAGACAGAAAGTTAAGCTTCTTTAGGTAGGGATTGTTATTATCGTGGTGTCAAGATAATACAGGTAGTCCTCATTTAGTGACAGCTTTCTACAGTGACTGTTCATAATTATGATGGTGGCAAAAAAGTAACTTTGCCACCAGTCCTCACATTTACAGCCTTTGCAGTCTGTAAAGCAAAAAGAAAATTGAAGTACAATATTAAGCACAGTTGTGGTTTCACTTGGCAAACACTTTGCTTAATAAAAATTTGCCAAGTCTGGTTGCTAAACAAGGACAACTTTCAAGATTGTGGGATGAAAAGTTTTCTTCTTGTAACAATGTGAAGTCAACTCTGGGAAGATGAATACTGCTGAGAGATAATCAGAAAAAAAAATGGAAACATGCAGAAACATCTTGAAAACAATCTCTTTTAAGTTCTCCAAATGAAAGAGAGAGAAAAACGAAACCAAACACAAGAAAAAAATAGAACAAATTAAAAGAAACAAAATTGCTCTTAAAATGAATTTCAGAAGCAAATTATGTGTCAGAATTTGATACTAAACTGCAAAGAGGACCCACAAAGCCACACGTGATCTGCAGGTTTCCCACTCCTTCAAAAATAAATAAAATGTAATAATTGTTTATTTAATTGTGGCATTAATTTCTTAATTACTTTTTTTTGCCTTTTTTAAAATGGTTTGCATGCTTCCTTTGGGATTAAAGGTACTATAGAGAATGGATGGGCTGTAATGAATACAAACCTTTTCTTTTGTAGTTTGATCCAGTAGCATACAGGATTGAGCCCATGATTGTTCCTGATGTGGAATTTGAACCCATGCTGCTTCCTCACCACAAAGGCCGAAAAAGGATGCACTTAGGTAAAAAAGAAAAGAAAAACCAGCCAAAAAAGCATTGTTTCTTCTCCATCTTATGCATCTAAATTTCATTTTTGATGTGTGCCATTGTGCCCATAGTAAAAAAATGACAAAAAAGATTATCTTATCTTATCATCTTATCTTAAATATATCATGAGTGATCTTCAGTGGGACTCCAACTATAGCTTTGCGTGTGATGGTATATGTCCTGATATACCTGCAGTATCCACGTGAGAATTAGGGATATGGGTGAAGCAGGATGGATGGCAGGTAACTTTTCACATCCACCCTAGAATGCTTCTTCCGGTGCCCCATGGGTGCACATGCACGAAGTCACTTTCTCAGAATTTTCCTTATAATTTATGAAGGAATGCTTGCAAAGATATGCATACTGGCTGGGGAATTCTGGGAGTTGAAGTCCACACATCTTTAAAGTTGCCAGGGTTGAGCAGCACGGATTTAGCATGACAGGCTTTTTCAGTAGCAAACAAGTCTAGAACCTGGCCCAACCAGCTGATTGCAGAGAATATAAATCCTTTCCATTCCCCACCAGTTAGTTAGAATTGAAGAAGCTTCTTGGATGAGAAGCAAATCAGTCCAGTTGTCTTTAAAATAAAAGCACCTTTGGGACAACCATTACCTGGATGAATGAGAACCTCCAAAGACATCAGTCTAAAACCTGCATTTAAGTTGCACATCCATGTGATCGTGGGTTTTTTTTTTCCTAGTTTTGAATTTTTTTCCTTTATTTTTCCAGAATTGAAGGAAGGCCTCACTCGGATGAGCATGGACCTGAAAAATAACTTGTTGGGCTCCCTGAGGACCGCTTGGCAGTCCTTCACCAGAACCTCATTGCCCGCTGTGGAGGCAGGAGCCACCGGAGATGTGGAACAGGAATCGGAAGCTGAAACCAGCATGGAAAAGCAACCTGGTTGGTTTAAACTGTGATTTGCACACTCAAGAGAGTTTGGTTACCTTTGGTGCATGCAAAGGAAAATATTTTGTGTTGCTTTGCAGCTGTTCTTGCCTTCGGCTTCCCATTTACAAAACTCCCGTTGCAATAAAGGTTTGGGGTAAATAGTGCAAAATGAATTTGTTGATACAGTGGGTTATATTTGAGAGATTATGAGTTTCCTAAGGGTCTCCTTGGCATCAGGTGGGGCTCCTTCTGCTCTATTGAGTGAAAAGAGAACTAATGGCCCAAGGATTGCGTTGTGCAATTTCCAGGTCTGGGCATGGAGCACTGTAATTGCCCTCTAGGTACTTGTGGCTAAGAGTTGCCACTTCTTTTTAGTGTTGTCTGAAGGAAGGGCTTTCTAGAATATTGGCAACTTTAAGACTTGTGGACATCAGCTCCTAGGATTCTGGCTGAGGAGTTCAACTCCCATGGCTGGCTGAGGAATTCTGAGAGTTGACAAGTCTTAAACGTTGCCAAGATTGGAGACCCCTATAAGACCGAGCTGCCACCGTTGCCTCAGGCAGGAAAATTAAGGCTGAACTTAGCTTAAGTGGCCAGTTCACTGGTTGCAAGTGTGTTGATTTAGCTTTCTTCCATATAAATACAGAGGAGAAACCAGAGGAACCAACCACGTCAGCAAAAGAGGATCCACCTCCAATTAATGTGGGGCTGCTGAATGGGGGCCATCGCATTGACTACGTGCTTCAGGAGAAACCCATTGAAAGCTTTAACGAGTATTTATTTGCACTGCAAGGCCATTTATGCTACTGGTAAGCTCTGCCTAGGGGGCTAATCCTGATCTGGTGCCCAATAGTTTTTCTGGATGGGGGCTGTCACCAAACATCCTTGACCAAGGAACATCTGGGAAGGTCCCTGTCTTCCATTAAGTGTGCAGCTTTGGGAAGGACACACACAGAGCCAGGAAGGAAGGAGAGAAATCAGCCTAGCCATCTAGATCAGCCAACTGAACCCTTCCTGCTAGGTTGCCTTTTCACCTGACGTGTCACGCAAGGTGGCAGTTGAAGAAGACTGTATTGTCTTTCATCTTCTCCATCGTTCCTGTTCTTCTCCAAGAGGCTTGTGACTATGTATCTTCTCCTTTGTATTGTATTGTATTTTTGCCAGGGTGTAATCAATCACGAATAGCTAGTCTTTCTTTCTCTTTTCCCTTTTTTCTATCCCTCCTTCTAGGGAGTCAGAGGACACAATATTATTGTTGTTGAAAGAGATTTATCAAACCAAGGGCATCAGCATGGATCAGCCCCTCTTGTAGAGCCAAGCTGACCATCTGCACAACTCTGGATACCAAATATGTGAGTCTATTTGTTTTTCTGATTTGAGCCCAGTTGACTCTGGCTGTTCTGTCCCAGCCTACGCGAGTTCTTGTTATGCTCACCAGGAGAAACCCCTCTTCCAAGAAACAGGAAGAAACCGCAAGAAAAAAACCAACCCCTTTCATTCTCACAGACCTGAGTCAATGTCCAAGGCAAACAAACACAGTTCACAGATCCTCAACACGAACGGTTGCCTTCGGCAACCAGCACCTCCCACACCTTCCCTTTTATAATTTAGCCAAGGCGTGGCTTCCTAGTGCCTTCTCCTTTGCCTTTGGAACTGCCCCATTGCATTCCTCTGTCCTACTTGCTTTTCTTGCCTGCGCCTTCGTGCATCTGGGATTTGTTCCAGCTGTTCTTCATCACTGTCCAACTCAGGTTCCCAGCACAGCTGTGTCTCAGACTGAGCGCGAGTAGAGGGGCTAGGCTCCTTGTCCGACTGTAAGTCTTGGAGGTCCTCAGAGCCATTCTCTGACCCTGATGTCACTCCAGGCCCCTCCTCCTCCTCCTCTGATTCCTCAGACTCAGCTGCCGGATCCACAGGCTGGCAAGGAATCACAACACTGGCTACCTTTTGAGAAAAAGACAAAAAGCAACAGATGATTTAGAAATTTTCCTCCTGGGTATCTTTTATCCCTTCCATAATGTTTTCCTTGAATCAGATCATCTCCAAGATCTGTTGCCTTCAATGAAAAGCTAACCTAATATGGCTGACGCACTATGTTGTTTCATTATGTTTTACAGATGCCCTGTGTCATCTTCCTCTTCTTTTGTCCGATATGCCCAGCATGCTTCTTCCTCACAGTCTGGAACTCTGGAAAATTCAGTATCCTATTCAGGGATGGTAGTGAGCATCGAGATCCTGTCCGATTCCTGGTATATGCAGGCCCTTGTGAATTAACCGATCTGCATTTTCTGCCTACAGCCAGTGTGTCTTTAGATCTGGTGCAACACCAGTTGTGTCCCCTTCAGTTTATGCACTAGTCAAGACTTGAAATTGGTGCTAGAATTTCACATCTTGTCTCCATTAGAAAAACCTCAAGATGGGCAGTGAAGGACTTTTGACTTATAGAAGCACTTCTTCTGAGGCCACACTGAGTGTTAGATGTTAGACTGTTTGTGGGGATTTCATTTTTGTTTTGTGTTATCTTATTCCTGCTGCTGATTAACCCAAGAAAGGGCTCAAGGCCAGAGCAAAAAAGCTGGGCATTCTTCTCTGAAATGATTATGGCAGTCAGGATGATCATGCCAGCAACAGCAATCTATCGTTTTACTTTTCTAAAGCAGGGAAAGTATAAAATTACTTACCTGGGAAGGAATTTGCAAAGCTTGTAAATTCCTCTCCATGTGTGGTTATAATGTAAACACTGTTGTAGAATCTATGTGTTTACATTTGGATGTGGGAGGTGCCAAACTTCATAGAGCAGCAGCAGCTTGATTTGCTGTTGTTTCAATGCATGCAACCAGGTCCTTGAAAGCATCTGAAGAATGAGGTCATATCCTAGAAACCACTGCCCACATAGTAATTGGACAGTAGATTGTTTTTTCAGGCACCAGATGAGGCGAACTCTATACCAGCAATTTTACCCGGGAACTCAGGGTGATTGGCTGACCATTTGGACAGTCAATTCGCATTGCTGGTTAGTCTTCCAGAACGTAAACTGAATGCATGGCTCAACATAATCTTGGCTGGTTAGTTGTGGAACACACCTGTGATTTCATGGTGTTATGTATGTTGGGCCCTGCAATTGTTGCATGACTTGTTTTGTCACAAAGTGGTCAGTTGCTTTTCTCATACCGCACATTTACAAAACGTTGTAGTCTCCACAACTGTCCTTCTCTTTTCAAGAAAGCCTTGACCAAGGAAGCCGCAAGCAGCAGGTTTACAAGTGGGATGTGATAACACTACACTCTGTTCACTTTGTGTATTCTTATTTTGTGCCAGAGACTTAGTTGTTCTCCTTGTTGTGTTTGCACTGTCATTGCATCATTGAATTTTCCAGCCCCTTGTGCTATACTTGTGGCTGAACAGAATGTCATTTGACATGGCCAAATTCTCAATTGGAGTATCAATAGGAAGTCAAGCAGTTGGAAGTTAATGCACTTTGTAAAATATTACCTATTTTTTTTAAAAAAAAAGTTATTTAACTTTTTTCCAATAGCTGTCTGCCTTTGGTGAATTTATTGATCTTTGCAAAGGAGAATCTCAACAGACCGTTAGGCCTCTTTATCTGTCATTCTTATTAGCACAGTTGCTAAATCATTAGGATTGACGACTTATACAGTAATCTTAGTGATCTGAAGTGGTTTCATCTTGTTAAGGCAGTAAGATCATCATCCATAGACTGGCTGTTCATCAGGTGTTCAAATGAGATTTAAGGATGTGTAGGATTCATCTCACAATGCAAGCACATTTACCTTAAAAAATACCTGAGTGCTGTTGTGCTGCACAAATTCTGTAAAGTTTTGCAATTGTTATATCTATCTATGGTAGAAAAATGTTTCACCCTAGACTGTGTCTACTAGCATTCTGCTGTATGGTATAAATAGTATAAAAAACCAAGAATCATAATTTCTGATCTTAGAATGGCAATATCCTATGAAAACATCTGCATCCAATGACCCCAAGATTAAAAACGTACGTGGGTAAGGACATGGATAAACTGAACTTTGGGTCTTTTTCCAGCTAAGGAAATATCTTTGAAAAATGGGAGCATGCTATAGTAAGATAAATGCACAAAACTGCAAGCTGAGAACTAGTTGAGAGACCCAAGAGGTAACAAATTAGTTCTGAGCTATAAAACATTCCACCACAATCAACCAAATGTATTGTGGTACGAGTATCGGTGGGAACTAAGTAGACTTTTTTAAAAAAATGCTTCCTTTTAGGAAAGTTCTTACCTATTTATCTTTAACCAGGAGGGGAAAATGGTTAAAGACGCTGAGCTTGTCAGCTGGAGAGCTGACAATTCAGGTTCCAGACCTGAGCCCCGTGCAACAGCTCCCCAGCTCCTGCTCATCTAGCAGTTCAAAAGCATGCAAATGCAAGTAGATTAATGGGAAGATAACAGCGTTCAGTGCCACATGACCATAGACCAGTGGTTCTCAACCTTTTTAATGCCGCGACCCCCCAACCGGTCGTAAGTCGAGGACTACTCAACCGGTCGTAAGTCGAGGACTACTCAACTGGTGCAGCACCGTTTGCAGAATGGGACTTTTGGCAGGCTCAGCAGGGCAGAGACAGCCTGGACGATTCCTATTGGCTTTTGAAAGCCAATAGAATTAGATCTATTCAAGAGAGTCTATTTTATTGGCTTTCAAAAGCCAATAGAATAAAAGGGAGTAGCACAGCTAAGGAAAAGGGGGAAAAAATGGCGGACTGCGTTGTTTGGCGACCCCCGTGAAATGGTCGTTCGACCGCAAATGGGGTCCCGACCCACAGGTGGAGAACCACTGCCATAGACCAACTCTTTGGACAACTCTGGCTCCCTCAACCAAGAAACGGAGATAAGCACCGTACCCTAGAATCAGACACAACCGACAGGGAAATCTTTAGTTTTAGTGGTTTAGGAACAGCAGTGGTGCGAAGCCATCGTTTTAACTCATCCAAAATCCCCCTAAAAGAAGCAAGGCTAAAAATGGAAGTGTGTAATGGCTAATGTGCTTTGAGCCATCACGCTGTTTTGAATCAATATCCATTTGCACTGCTGAGGATCAAGCTTTTTGCAGAGCGATGCAACGGCAGAGGATGCGAAACTAAAAATATTGCCATAAATATACAGAAAAAGTATGCCCAAGCCTTGAGTGAGCTGCAAGAACACGCTGCAAAACAAATAATTATGCAATTAATATAATTAGTTTCCTAGATTTAATTTTGACTCCTTAAATATTACACTGCAGTGGCAAATGTTGGAGAGAACCTTTGTAAGTATTCTTAAGAGGTAGCAGAAAAACAGACAAATGCATGGGTCTGGATTGAGGATTCTACCTTTATACCTGTTTCAATGCATGTCAATCTCCTTGGTGAATGGTTGAGCTACTGGTCTGTTTTAAGCAAACAAACAAACAAAAAGGCTGGGGTTTTGTTGCACAAAATGACTGAATCCTGAAAGAGTATACTTCATCAACACCATCACCCCATGCAGAGTTTTGTGGAGAAAACAACTAAAATTGTACCCATCTATCTTTGGACGGACAGGAATGGACCCTGGGCATCCTGGGAAAAGATGCCTGACCTCTCCTGTGGTACATACGTCAAGACTATACGTGAGCTGAGATCATGTGACGTCAGTTTATAGATATTTAAACTCAAGAGCGACGCCTGGCATTACAATGAGGGAATGGACCAAACTCCTTTTGTTGCTCTATTTTAATTGGATGTGGAATGGTTCGATGTTGCCAGACATGAATTGGCCTCCAAAAATAATAATAATAAATCAACCCAAACTGTGCAATTTTTTCTTCCTGGAAAAAAACTTGCTCTCTTGGCCACATCTGCGTGATGAAGGGGAAGAAGTAAAGGCCCTGAGTTTCAATCAGGCTGCTATACGTCAAACACTGATGGCTCTCCCCCTACCACCTCCTCCCGTCTGGCCTTTGAGCAAAGCAGAACATGGATGATTTAAGCTCTCTTTTCCCCGCTCGAGTCTGCAAATACAGAGAAAGGAAACCCCCGAGTCCTCCTTCATACATCTAGGTTGAAGCCAGAAACTGTCAGCTTTTGCCTCTCTGGAGAAGATAGCCTGGATCCTTGCTGCAGTGGCTGGTGGCATTTGGGGTCCGTCAGAGGAGGGTAATGCTGTCTGTAGCAGAGATATGCGAAGGTGAATCCCATTCCAGAGCCAACCAGCACATCTTAAAAGGAACAAAAGAATACGAGGATCAATATACAAACGCATCATCTGGATATCAACCCAAGTTAAGTTCTGGTAGCCAAGCAATAGTCTTAATTTTGCGCAGGGGCCATGCCACCAAGGAAGGCAGAGCTGGTTGGGATTTTTCCCAGTGCTAAGAGGCTGGCTGATTTGGTTTTGAAATTGATTTATCCTCTTTTAGCATTTGGGCGGTGTGGTGGCTCGGCTGTTAAAGACGCTGGGCTTGTCAGCTGGAAAACCGGCAGCCTAAGTTCAAGACCCGAGCGCCACGCGACAGGGTGAGCTCCCGTCCTCGCCCCACCTCCTGCCCATCTAGCAGTTCAAAAGTAGGCAAATGTGAGTCGATAAATAAGTGCCACTTAGGTGGGAAAGGAACAGCACTCCATGGGGTCATGCTGGCCACCTGGCTGCAAGAATGTCTTTGGACGGTGCTGACTCAATGGCCTTGAAACTGGGATAAGCACTCCCTCCTATAGTTGGCAACGACTAGCAGAATAAAATCCACAGGGAACTCCTTTTAGGGTTTACATGCTACTCCCACCTCAAAACAGCCATCAAATAACAATTTGGGCCATTAGGATTTGCAGTGAAATTTGCCTATCGTTACAACGGGCGGGGGACGGGGGGGGGGGAGAAAGTGGCCTGAGTTGAGGAGGAGTTTTGGCCGAGAGGGAGGATTCCACTCCCTCCGTTCCTTTCTGTAGATCAGTGTTGTACAAACTAAGACTCCAAAGCCCTCGACACCTCCACTGAAGCCCAGGCTTCGAAAACAGTTTTAGCACATGGCGGAAAGGGAAAGTTATTAGATGCCCCACTGGAGAAGAGCCCTGTGATTCTTATTCCATTTGAATTAAATGGAAATGTATGGAGTTTGTTTTGTCCGTCCATTCCTTGCAAGGTTCCTGCCATCATGAAACCCAAAAACATGGTTCTCGGCCCAAATATAAGCAGTGTTCCTCTTTGGGTTTTTGACCAACGGGGGCAATGAAACAAGACTTGTATGTAGTAGAGAAATAATCCTTCCCACACACACATACACGCTTTTCCCTCACCTTGCCAGTGATGTTTGTAATCGCACGTGCGGGACAAGGCAATGAGCATGGCGACAAAGAGGGGTCCCAAGAAGGCGCAGAGGCGCCAGGATTGGCCTCGACCACCAGGTGCAAAGCAATGCAGCTTCCCTGCAATGTAGAAGGCGCCAAAAGCAAGCCCGGCAAAGGCAACTGGAAAGCAGAAAAGATCCCTGTGAGATTCAACAATACTAACGGCCATCACCATCTGTAGCTCGAAATACAAGGGATCCCAAGGAAGAAATCACCCTCTTTCTCAGAAGAAATGTGGAATAGACACAGTTGTGGGAGAACGAGTGGCAGAACCTGGGGGCGGAATTAAAAGAGGGATCAGCCTAGAATCCCTACATAGTCACAAACTAAACCTAGCCTCCCTTGAATTCTGTTGATCCTTATCTAGCTCCTAGCAGGTGCTAACCATTCATTGAGGAGATTCCTATGCATACCCATGATTAGCAATAAATCTGTTTAATTGGACCTTCCCATGTGTCCCGCCTGACAACAATGCTGTGAAGAACAACCCTGTACAAAAAAAAAGTTACATCCTTTCAGCTACTCCCAGGTGAGGCTATACTGCTCCCAATCAAGCGAACAAAAACATTAACATAAATTAAAAAGAAAAGGATGGGAGTTGAACACAGTAATGGAAGGAAATGAGAGATTTATCAATTTTATAGTGGGTAAATTGCAATTAGATCCAATATCTTCTCACCACAATAGATATAGTGCACTATTCTGTTGTTGAAATATTTTGCAATTAAGAGGATTTATCAGTTCTATTCTCCGGGGATGACAGATTGGGCAAATCCTTGAATAGGACTGATTGTTTTAATGTTAGTATCAGAGCACTTAAATGGAATAGAGTGTTTTGTTCTTTTATGCAACTACAGAAGGAAAGGAAAATATCTCCTGAATTAAAATACAATTTACTGTCAGATCAGACAAACAGGACTACAACCATGGTTGCTTTTCAACATTAATGGAATTAAAGAAGGGGGAAACCATATATAGCCCTACCAATGTTGGAACGTGCCCTCCATCCTTGCTTGGCTAGCCTAAATGGAATATGTGTTTGTGTGTGTACATACTGTGTGTTTGTGTACTGTGTGTATCTCCTTTATTTATAAAGCACTTTGGGTTTGGTTAGAAAAACCCATACACAGTAAAAGATGCCACTGCTCATTTTTTTTAAAAAAAGCTGAATCTAAAATCAAACAAAAAAGTTACTTCTCTCTATGAATTAAAAAAAAAACCAGGCAGGAATTGTATGGTCTTTTCCAAGCAAAGAAGCTGAACAGAATTCAGAAAGATTTTCTTTGCCTGCAGTACTTAAGACTGAACTCACAGGAGGAATGTCCACTAGGGAAGCTCTTGCGCCCTTCAATCACAACTTGTGCATCTCCTGTGCACAAGAACTGATGGGTTGCCCGTCCATCTGGAAAGCAGCGGTAGAAGAAATCTGGCCGAGGCCTAGAGGAAGAGAGAAGCTGTCAAAGCTGACATTTACTTTATCCCCCACCCTGAACTCCCCCCTATGAGGGGGACAGTTGACTGAAGAGAAGTGTAGGTCAAGGTGGACAAGAAGAGCTGAGGCAAAAGAGCCAGCCCGAATCTCCAACTCTGCTACGACAACTGGAGACTCTATTGTGATGTCTACAAATATCTTGCTCCACTCCAATGGCTTCCTACTCCACCCACGTTTATACTCTTGAGATTTTCTCTCTGTTCTCTTCAGAGCTTCTGGCGTAGACGTGACTCTCCCAAAATATTACCCTTCACAATAAATTAGTAAGGGGACGACTGACTTAAGGTCTCACAGTGAGGTCTATGGATGGTCCAACATCATAACCAGAGCATTGGTAGCTATCAAGACTGCAAAAACAGGTCAGCCAGATACTCCTGTACTCTCCACTTGGAATAATGCTTGGTGGCCTCCTAAAGGACAAGGACTCCATGCCATCCCTTCCTCTGTGTGGAAGAAGGGAAATATTTTCTCTACCAGCGGCCCTTTTTTTTTAAGCGTGAAAGAAGTGGGTGGGAATAGGGTTTAGGGCAGTGGTGGCGAACCTATTGCACGGGTGCCAGAGGCAGCACTCAGAGCCCTCTCTGTGCACATGCGCGCCATCACCTCAGTCCTAGGCCTTCAGCTGGGTTTTATAAAACCTTTTCGCTTTAGGCCTCTGCCGCCATGTGCAAAAAAAAAAAAAAAAAGAGGTTCAATCAGTCAATTTCAACTTCTCGCGGGAAAAAAAAAGATCTTGCAAAGTTGGAATTGATTGAACTTTTTAGTCCCACCCAGTCTGCCGTTACCACTGCAGCCACGCCCACCCAATGGGCCACACCCACCCAATGGGCCACACCCACCCAGCACCCGACAATGCTTAAGTGGGTTTTGGGTTGCAGTTTGGTCACTCGGTCTCTAAAAGGTTCGCCATCACTGGTTTAGGGCGAGGAGAGGAGAAGGTAACCTCATACGCTGGATAGGAAAGCTCCATAGCTCTAGGTATCCACTGTTACCTTAGCCTGGGTCACAGAAAGGAAAAACTAAGGAGCGGTGGAGCGAAGACTGCTGCTTCTGATCCAAGATGGGATGGAGAGGCCAAGAGAAGTGAAATGATACTTTTCGACATACTCGTTGGATGGCCCTTTTGAAAAGAAACGCAAGGGAATATTTCTGCTGTTTCTTACCTAACATTACAGGAAGGGTTCAAACACTGAATAGTTAACTCTTTCGTACTGCAACCCGGCTTCTTCCACTTCGTCTCTGGCCCTCTCACTTTCTCAGAAGGTCAACTCTGCCTAATAGCAGTCAGAGGGGGAAATGGCAGTCTTTTCTCTAGAAATACCGAATGAGAACCTTACCTGCCCACAGCCAGCTTCACAGCATTGGTGAAAATACCATTCAGACCCAGGGCCAGGCTAACAGCTGCACCAAAGAAAAACAAAGAAAGCAATTCCAGATTAGATCCCCGTGATGGACAAGGGGAAGAGCTGGACAGAGATGCAAGTATGAGCATCTTTAAAGCAATTCGGCTCAATGGGTCTCAACAGTCCATTAGTTGGCATGTCCTACCAGCAGGTGTGGTAAGAAAACTGTGCAATCACAGTTTTTACTGAAACTTTCTCTTTTCCTTTCCTTTCCTTTTCTTTCTCTTTTTTTCTTTCTCTTTCCTTTCTTTCAATTTTTTCTTTCCTTCCTTCTCTTCCTTCTCTTTCTCTTTTCTTTTAATTCTTTCTTTCCTTCCTTTTCTTTCTTTCTTTCTCTTTTTTCTTTTCTTTCTTTCCTTTTCTTTTAATTCTTTCTCTTTCCTTCCTTCTCTTTCTCTTTCTTTTTTCTTTTCTTTCTTTCCTTCCTTCTTTCTCTTTCTTTTTTCTTTTCTTTCTTTCCTTCCTCTTTCTTTCTTTCTCTTTCCTTTTTTCCTTCCTTCCTTCCTTCCTTCCTTCCTTCCTTCCTTCCTTCCTTCCTTCCTTCCTTCCTTCCTTTCTTTCTTTCCCATCTCCCTCAAAGAGGGATGGATGCAGATGGAATCCTGGTTTCCTGTTCCAAACATTAAGGTGACCACAAACTTCTCATCTCTTCCCTACTAGGCAGAGAGAACTCATTTGGCATGATGAACTTGCTGCCTTATTCAGCAATTTCATGCAACCCCCCAATTTTCTGCAAACGTCCTCCCCCTCCCCGTGCTCACCTAAGCATGCTTCCCTGGTATCTTCTTTACCAGCCTTCATGAAGAATTTGGCCAGGAAAATCAAGACCAAAGGAGACACAAAGGAAATGAACTGCAAGAAGAGGATCAAGATTCAAATCAGTGCTACGCTCATGAAAGCAAAACGAAGCTACAGAAAGGATTAAAAAAAAAGACGGGGATTGTTTCTTAGCTTTAAAATGTACTACCTTTTACAGAGCAGAGGCTAAATTTAGCTCTCTGGATGCCTGCTGGAGATTATGCTAAAATAGCAGTGTTCAGAAAAATGGGTATTTCTGCCCAAAACGAAAATGAGAGCAAGCAATGTGCATAGGTCTTCATTTGGACCAGTGTTTTTCAAGCTTGGCAAATTTAAGATGTATGGACTACAATTCCCAGAATTCAAACAATTCTGGGAGCTGAAGTCCAACTATGTTAAAGCTGTCAAGTTGAAAAACAACAATTTAGACTTACGACACCCAGATGGACAAAAATAAACCATGCCCAAAACACATAACGTGTGTTGGAAATTTTTAGCCTCCCCCGCAGACTTTGGTGAGGTCATTTTTACCAGGACTGTCAAACTGCCGGCCCGCGGGCTGGTTGCATCATGCGAAGGCCGCGTTTACCCCAGCTCCAGCAATGCGAAAAAGTTGCGATACGTCACGTGATGCAGTGAATTTGACACCCCTGATTTATACCATTCTGTTTTCCCTTATTCTGTCCAGAGAATTGTTGCTGTTTTTCTTTACGGTCTGCTTCTGTTTGACCGGCCATTGTTTATCTTTTTGCTAGAAACAGAAATGCTTCTGAAAGGGGTTAAAAATCACCTGTCTTGCTCTGAAACAGCAAAGATTTGACTACCTGGACGCGTGCAGCCACATGTTCTGAAGCAGACAGTGGCAGTCCTTTCAAAGCATGGAATAGAGGTTTTTAACTGTATCAAAGAAGATTCTATCTTAATATCGTGGTGTCGTGGAATATCGTGGTGTCCCATAATGTGGACTGGGCAGCTCCAGCCCCTGAGTAAAGTTCTGGGCTTAATCTAAGCCAAGAAATACGCATGCAATAAAAGTTGAAGGGAGAGTGGACAAAACACTTACAAACATAGATTTGGTGGGCACGTGGTCCGACTCTATGTAGGGGTTTTTGTAGAGCCACATTTCTTCAGGCTGTATGACTCGTTGGAAAGGGGGCAGCACTTCAGTGACCCTTAAAGAAAGTAGGATCGGAAAATCTTTGGTTCCGCAAGGATTACGGGCTGCTTTCCGTAGCAATTTACAGGATCGCATTGCCATTTTTGTTACATGTGATCGCACATCCTTGGTACATGGATGCAATATAGTACCCTTTCCCGCTGTGTTTGTAAACATACGTTTGTCTAGCCCTGGGCTGTAAGAAACTGTCATTCTAATTCTATGCACTACAGTACAGCCTGCCATCCCCGTTTAGCTACCTTTAAACCTTAATCCCCCCCCCCAGGGCAAAAATAAAGACTCATAATAATCAAGGTTATAATCCAAAAGACAGCATGCAAAGGAAAAGGGAGAATGGCGGTTCTTATGACCAGGCAGAATAAACCACAACTGATCTCTCCCTGTTCAAATCCAACTGGGTCTCTTTAAGATATGCCTATATATAGAAATTGCAAGGTGGGTATGGCTGTCTTTGACAGCGATTGGAATTTTTCTTCCAGGCATTTGCAATCCAGGCACTTCCTGAAATTCTTTGGCCTATCCAACCATTGTTGTCGACTGCATGTCCCTGAGACTAACTGCAAAACACCCTATGCTATCTAGTTCTAAGGGCCACATTAGCAATATAAACCCTCTGCTGGTGGGAATTCTGAAACTGAAGGGCCTTAACATCTGGTGGGCTTTTGGCCAGAAGCTCCCCCACTGATCCTCCCCTCCTTCGCTCTCCCCCCCCCCCCTTGCAGGCTCTGAAAGAACAGGCCAGTATCCATCAGCAGCCTACGTATCTCCGCGGGATGCCCAGCCCGACGCACAGCAGCGCGAGATGCCACCAAACGCTGCAGGTGCGTCCTTTCTTTTGGAGGACATTGCAATCCGGCTCAGGCCAATTCCCAACAACGCCAACGCCCGCCCGCTGAAAAGCTACGTAACTTCTTTGCAAAACTCCGGGCTGGGGGAGGTGGGTGAAAGAGGGGTGGGTGGGTGGAGGGAGAGACCGAAGGCTGCCCACACCGGCATTCGGGTGAAGGCGTGGGAACGGGAACCGTGCCCAAGAAGAGGAAGAGAAACGCCCCTTCCCCTTTTCTCCTCCGGCCTCGCGACCCACCCAGCCCCCCTCCCACTCCTCGACACTCACAAGAAGAGACCCAGCAGCAACGCGCGCACCCCCACTTCCAGCAGCAGGGCCAGCCCCGCCCGCGGGACCGGCCACATCCTTCGCTCAGGCTGCGGCGGCGGCGGCGCGCGCTCTCTCGCTCGCGCCCCGGGGAGGAAAGAAGGGCGGAGACTCGGTCGCCTTTTCTCTCCACCCTCCCTCTTCCACCCACCCCACTCCACCCCACCCCACTTCCAGGGGCGGGCAGCGGAGTCAAAGCGAAGTGAGTCATGCATGCCGGCCGAAGGGGCAGAAGCAAAGCGCAGGCGGCGCTCTTGGTGCGCTTCCTGGCATTAACCCGGCTTGGGGAGGGCGGAGGAAAGGGCCGAGAGAGCCGGAACTGTAAGCCCAGAGATGCTTTTTTTTTTCAGGAGGCGACGGGGGGGGGGGCTTTTTTTTTTTGCTTGCCTTGGAAGACGTTTCGCTTCTCATCCAAGCGGCTTCTTCAGCTCTGGATGTTGTTGGTGGTGTGTGTGTGTGTGGGGGGGTGTGTGGGGGAAATAGAAGGATTGATACTCCTTGCAGACAGCTGTTCGTTTGCATTCTTTTAGCCAGTCGTTAATGCTACCTGGAGGCTTATTTGGTAGCATTAGCCAGCAGCAGTGGTGGGATTCAGCCAGTTTGCACCACTTCAGCAGAACCGGTAGCTAATTTTTTTTTTTTTTTGTTGCCCAGGCAGGCCCAGAATGGACTTCCAGAAGCGGCAGGCACACCGAGAACCGGTTGTTTGCATATTTGAATCCCACCGCTGTTAGCCACTCTCTGAAACAGTGGTTCTCAACCTTTCTAATGCCGCGACCCCATAATACAGTTCCCTATGTTGTGGTGACCCCCAACCACTTATACATCACCGGGTGCCAGTGGCGTGGCCAAAGAAAAGGGGGGAAAAATGGCGGATAGCCTTGTTTGGCGATCCCCGTGAAATGGTCGTTCGACCCCAAATGGGGTCCCGACCCACAGGTTGAGAACCACTGCTCTAAAAGCATGCAAATGACCAGCGGTCTGCAAGGAGTATAAATCCTTCCATTTTCCCCACCATCCAGTCAGAGCTGAAGAAGCTTCTTGGATGAGAAGCGAAACGTTTTCAAAGAAAAACAAGGTCCAGTTGCCTCCTGAAAAAGACTTTTTGGGATAACTATGAACTGGAGAACTGAGAATCTCCATAGATATTCCGGAACTGTCAGTGATCCGGAGAGCCTGAGTGTCGATAAAGGGATATTTGTAGCTCAGGGTTGAAATGAGGGCTCCTTGGTGTTCTCTGGGCTTGGTGGTTTTCTTGCAGCATTTCATTACTATTACCTTTCTCGTCTTTCCTATTATCTATTTTTCCTCAGCTTCTTATGACAAAAACTTTGTTGTCTGTATCATAACGATTTATGTTGATTGCTTTTATTTAGGGTCCTATTATGATTTGTGTCAATTGCTTATTCAGTATCCTATGACCATCACAGAGTATTGTGCCTTATGATTTATGATGATTGTATTTTAGGATTATGATCCTGATTTATCACTTGTTGCTTGCATGTACACTGAGAGCTTATGTACCGGAGACGAATTCCTTGTGTGTCCAATCAGGCTTGGCCAATACAAATTCTATTCTATTCTTTACCAAAGTAGATAACATCATCAGTAGGCCATGAAACATCTGCAAGAAAACCACCAAGCTCAGAGAGCACCAAGGACCCCTCAGAGGCGAGTGTGGACAATGGGCTGAGCCATCCACCTCTGCACCCCCCTCACTGCCACCTAATCAACCAAGATGAATCTTAGCCAAACTTGTCGGCCAAAGCCATCTGCTGCTTAGCCAGCTTGTGTGTGAATGCAATCGTGGTTTTGCAAAGAGTTATGGAGATTGTGACCTTCCCAAAAGGGGCTTTATTTGAACGAGTTTGTTTATATCTGTTGAAGGAAAAATCTTCATCAGGGTCCAGTCCAAGCTGGGAATAAACAACATGCTTTAGAAAGAAGGTTGTAGTTTGTTGAAGAGGGGAGCCAGACAGAAAAGATGGCTCTGGAAAAAAGAGAGAGCACATGTAGTAGGGAGTGGGTTTTTATACCTTCTTGTGCTTTTGTTTGGAGTTGTTCCTGTGTCGTGAGCTTTGACCTGAATCTGTGTGTGCCTTTATGGTATTCTGATGGTGATGGGTTAATCCTATTATGTCCTGTCTTAGAGTTTGGGTGGGATATGTAGATTTTAAGGGTCTTTGTTTTCCTGATCTCTTCAGCTTCTAGCTGGAGGGCTCCAACCTTCCTGAATGGATTATTACATCTGCATTTCTAAAAGTTGGTTTCTGCTGAGTTGTCTGGCGTGTGTGTGTGTGTGTGTGTGTGTGTGTGTGTGTGTGTGTGTGTAGAGGTTTCTGCCTTTTTAAAGATCTCCATTATTCCTTTGGGGAAATATATTCTGCCTTTTTAATATTCCCAAAATATTTCTTTCTCTGGGTTGTTCCCACATATCTATATCATCTATTCCAATACAAGAGACAGTTTGTAGCTGGGTGATGAACGGTGGAGTTCTTGGTGACCTCTGAGCTTAATTGTTGGCTTGCAGACGCTTCATTACCTTACTAGGTAACGTCAGTGCGAGCGAGTGTGGGGTTTGCGATAATGAAATAACTGAACAACTCCATAGGTGTACAGGTACTCCTCAGCTTACAACAGTTCATTTAGTGACCGTTCAAATTCACAACGGCACTAAAAAAAAAGACCATTTTTCACTCTTAACAACCTTTGCAGCGTCCCCACGGTTGTGTGATCAAAATTCAGATGCTTGGGAACTGGTTCACCTTTATGATGGTCGCTGTGTCCCAAGGTCACGTGATCCCCTTTTGCGACCTTTTGACTAGCAAAATCAACGGGGAAGCCAGATTCACTTAACAGCCTTGTTACTAACTTATCAACTGCAGTGTTTCACTTAACAACTGGGACAAGAAAGATTGCAAAATGGGGTAAAACTCACTTAGCAAATGTCTCACGTAACAAGTAGAAATTTTGGGTTCAATTGTGGTCGTAAGCCGAGGATTACCTATATACATTAGTAGCCTCTCGTTGATAAATCCGTGGTTAACCAGAATAAGACGACCAGAAGTGGGTGGCAACAATCTGTTGACCACTAGGTGGCCCTACTGACATTGTATAAAGCAGGGGTTCTCAACCTTGGCAACTTTAAGACTTGTGAACTCCAACTCCTGTCTACATTTTCCCTTTTTTTTTTTAAAGGCAGGCACTGGAAACTGAATGGCATTAGTAATATTTGCTTTAATTCGCATATATACAAGCTGAGCAAAGCTAGAGTCACAGATTGAACATTCCAACAGGGAACAAAATCTGTTTTTTTTTTTTTTACATCAGACCTAATAAATCATCCTGCATAGTAAAATTCTCCCAAGCTCAGTTGTCTATATTTGGATTCACATAATATATTAACACCGTTTTTTATTTCTTCCTTGGGCTACCATGTGCTGTGAACTCGATCCATTATGATTTGAAAATTATGGTTTAGAACAATGTATTAACCCAGCCTATTCAATAAATCATAACTAAATCATAGCTAAGCATAACACGGAAATTACATTGCTAGCCAATAACATAATGTACAAACAACCGTAGCTCAGTGTTTTTAAACTTCTTAGATCCAAAAACAAACCAATCTATCAAAGAATGAGCGTCCCCAGAAAATAGGAATAAAATTTCCAGCTTTTCCAAGAAGAAGAGAGAAATACCAGATCTGTTACACTGTGGTGCTGCATGTGCCAATTATAACAAGTTTTAAAGGCATTAAAAATTGCAATCATACTACTAGCAATACATCTCTAAGCTGGAATAGATGCACTGTTTGCCCTTAAATCCTAACTTAACTATCTCCCCCATTATGTAACCAAATGAGAAGTTAAAGTTAACTACTGCAAAATAATTAAATTTAGCTCTTAAATTCAAACATTCCTCCATTGGGTGGTTCTTTGCTCAAAGGACCCAACTGGAGGCTGTAGTTTCTTTTTTCTCTCATCTTGGGAAAGGAATCATTTGTCAACTAGATTACTTCTGTAGATCACCAATTATCCATGGACTTCTGAATGAGAAACAGTAGACAACTTTCTTAGCTAAGTGCTGGAAGAAGGGATTCTTTCAGTCATGTTCTTTTTTTAGTTGATAATTACTGCTTTCAAATTGTTGGCATCTGGTTTTACATTCAAATTTTAAAAAATATACCCCATAACATCACTGTTATAACATACAGACCATTATGGGGTCCTTGGTGCTCTCTGAGCTTGGTTGTTTTCTTGCAGATGTTTCATTATTAAGCTAGGTAACATGATGATGATGTTACCTAGCTTAGTAAATGAAACATCTGCAAGAGAGCCACCAAGCTCAGAGAGCACCAAGGACCCCACAGTGCAATCCTGAGCTACAAATATTCTCTTACATCAATATCCAGACCTCTGCTTTTCAAGTACAATGAATGAAGATGATGATGAATGAGGAGATCGTTGGTAGAAAGTGGAGCCCATGCCAAACAACTCAAAGTGTTTGCTTGTGTCTTCTTTGTGGTGTATCTAATGGATGCTATTCTACTGGTTACTTAAGAGATAATGGCTCAGTTAATGGGAAGGAAAGTTCTAGCCAACAATCAGACTCTGATCAGTAAGAGAAGATTAATTTGTACATTTGTCAATAAGGTCATTCTACTCTGATGGATGGAAAATGAAGAATTAGATTTTCCATTACTGACATGAAAAACCTCTAAGCAAATATTTAGTGAGGCACCTGGAAATAACAGATCCACTTATGGACAATTTGTAGGAGAGGGTTTAAAATGGATGTTTCTTTTGCATGGCCAAATTGTAGTCCATGAGGACTCCTCTACTCCCTGATGGTTGCTAATATTTATTGTAAGCTGAGGTGATACATTGCACTAAGTCAGACTTTTTTTTATAGCTACTATTTATTGATTGCATCACAATTGATTGGATTTGCATAACACAGTGAGCCAAAAACAGCTAATCCCAAGATGATCAATCATAACCTGCCCAAGTTAATCAAGTATTGTGGTCTACAAGTTGAGAATTATGGTCTGTTTCTCTCCTTTGGATTCGAAAGCAAAGTTTGGTTTGTATTCATGGCAGATGACTCATGCC